TCTGTCGTTGCTCTGTCCAAATATAGCTGTGGTAATCCTACCGTTTATACACCAGGTATCCCAGCGTGTCAAATGGTACATAAACAAATGGAGTTCAGAGTCTACTACAAGACGGGCACAACGTTGAGTAATATTGTATCCACCAACCCGTAGGCAGCGTTGAATGTTATCTACAGAATCCAGCATTAAAACTGCGATTTGGTGCACATTGCAAAGAGCTACCGAGAGTTGAATATCCGGATGAAAGAGCACCTGTATGCGATCCGTCTCGGATAAGCGGACAACTTCAGCATTCTCCAGCATGTCATTTCCAAAGGGCACTTCTTCAGCCAGACCAGTTTGTCTGTTATGGCGAAGGTTCATTCTAAATTCGTTCGTCTGATGACAGCCTGTACGTATACGGGCTCAGAGATACCGGATGTTCAATAAATACCCATTCTCCGTAATTATCAGTGGAAATTAAGGTGCAATCACTTATTAGTACGAATAATCGAGTCAGCATAACAAAGGTCCATTTATACTTTGGTTTCAAATGTGAACTTAACATCGCACTGTCGGTCACCATTCGGTTTTCTGTATATTTCGAACGGTTTACAGCAGATATATTCAATCCCAAAACGGCGGCATTGCTTTTACTTTAGGGATATAACTCCCCCTATGCAACCATTTACGTCGAGCTCTGATGATTCTACGGTGTATGTAGCGAAATACGTTGCCAGCATATCGGTAAAATACTTTGCCAGCGGTAGTAAAATCGTTTCGTATCCATTTTCTATGTTTAATGTCCTGAACGATGGATAGTTCAAGATATAACTACTGGTCCAGAATTGTAAACCTGAAACCATAAACATAAACGTAAACGTAACAAATCTACAAATTAAACGTATTGCGGCTTGTTGGACGACAATGATCTAATACACAAGAGAACTTGACCTTCTCTTACGTTTATTTTTTTGCAACACCTATTAGGGACAACTGCGTAGTTTTATTGAAATTCATCAATATCGAGTTCAGAATTTTATGGCTTTGCAGATGATGTTTAGCGGTTATTGAGTAATGACTATTTGATGCAAGTAAAGCCTATTTCTTGACTAGTTTCAAAGCGCCATCTTTTTCTGCGGTTCAGTAGCGCGCTTATCCTGGTGGATTATAGTTCTCATGTCACTGTGTTGTCATCGTTTTATGGTGTTTTGGCCATCTTTATCACTGATTAAATCATTTAATTCTTATAGCAGTCCCTTCTTGTCAGCGAGCTTCTGCTTGTCAGGTTCTCTGATTGTTTCTCTGCTAACCCATATATTTGATTTTTGGTCCATTGTGCTCAGCCTGAAAATGCGTTCAGTGATATTTAAGCTAGACTCTGCGAGACCTGCGTCCTAGATATGTCAGTGCTTAACTCTGGCTTAACATGCCAAATTAGATTCTTAATCTACACTGTGTACAAAGCGAAGTCAGCCTAAATTTTGTTAATAGGTTTTACTTGCGAACTGTCTGTGCTAAATATCTGTGCATGTTGTTCTCACTGAAAACTGAGATATCTGATTTTTTTATGAAAAATTTTTTGAATTTTTTCTTATGTCTTGACTTTATGAATTTGCCAGATAAACCTATTAACAAGCCGCTTTGTTTTCTTAAAAGTTGATTTACTACCACTGTCTAGCACTTAGCTGCCTAATAGTCATGCAAATAGTGTTGCGTTTAGGCAGGTGTCCCAGCGGAGAATCGTGCTGCGTTGGTGGATGCTCCGTTCTCAGCACTTTGATCGACGTGCAGGCTCTTGCTGATTCGCTTAACAAAATTCCGGATTTGAAATTGAAATTTGAGGTTTCCAAGGATCCGGGCACGTGAGTTCTGCTGTTGTACTTCGTCATAATATCACTGTCAATATTTCTTATTAAAAATGTATCAAGCAAATTTTAGTTGGCACGATATAGAAAAATAGTAGAAAAATACGGTTTTGTGTTGTTCAGTGCAAAGTACAGGTTCTCGTGTCATGTGTCAGTCCGTTTTTTGCACGTTTAATTTTTTTGCTGATTATCACAATAATTTGTAGTTGTTAAGTGGGTCAAGACGAATTATAGTCGAGAGTGAAAGCGCTTGCATCAGTACAACTGTACCTCTCGACCATTCTGTTATGACCGCATCAGGACACCATGCCGTTCCTATTGTCAACGGCTTGCTTCCAGCTTAGCCTGTTGCGTTGGAACAATTTGAAAGTGAATTTCTTGCTCAAGTGAATGGACACCTAAGAGAAATGTTTCTCCGCTTGGAATTCGAACCCGACACCTCCGAAGTTCGAAACCGACATGTATCCTCTGTACCACTGCGTCTCGTAGTGGTTTGGTGCGAGCCTTTTTATGTTTAGAATACAACGTTCGTTTATTGTTCATCTGCACCAGTTATGATGTTATATGCCTAAGGGAGAATGAAGCAATTACCTGAAAATTTGTGATTAAGTATTACAATTATTCATTGTAGTTTTGCGACCACGACAAAGAGCACAGATGTAGCGGCAAGCCGATGAGCCCCATAACGCAACACGTCAGAAGCTTTGTACACAGCTAGCGCATCTTTCACCTATAGAGAAGTGTTTTAAATTACGTAAAATGGTTGCCACTTGCCACATGCTGGTTAGTCGACCGTTTCATTATTCATTACAGGTCTTCACAGAGTTCCGTAGCGGTTCAGAAGCATTCACTACGCCGTATTTCGCCATGTCATGATGACCCTTATTGAATGATTGGCTTTTTTCCGACAAGGATGTAAAAATTGGTTTAGGGAATCAGTGGACTTGGAGTGCCATGCTCGTTTGGGAGCAGTGTACATCTACATGTTTATGTACAGCCAGTAGGCTCATGTTTTCCTTTTACGTAATGGCGCCCAGCGCCCACTGTTTTTTTTACAGGATGAAAAAATGAATCACCCAGGTGGGATTTGATGCGTTGATTTAAGTTATTCTTGCAATCCATTGCTATCTACAATTGTTTTTCAATTTTTCGTGTTGAATAACTACAACAAACATTTTATCGGGGTGATGGTCCCATAAAAGTAACCTGTATGCAGAATACTGAGATTATTGTGTGTATTCGTTTTTTGGCTAATCAGTACTCACTTTCGTGTCATTCAAACTTCTTGTGCTTGAAATCCACTGCTTGTGTTACCATATAGTGTTAAATTTGAGTAGATGCAAGTAAGTTCTAGTTCTTACTCTGTCTTACCTTTTAACTTTGCGTTTTCAATTTTACCTCGTTCTTTTTAGGTATCTTTGCGGCTATATTTACTATCAGTCGCTGAGAGAGAATCCAGCACGAACGCTTTTCGTCCATGTGCCGTTCGTCAGCGAAGATGCGAGTCTAGAAGACATTGCGGCTGCTTTGAAAGCGCTTTTGGAAACTGTGGCCAACGACTATTTGGAAAAGGTATTTATGATCTAGATTCATTTGGGTTTGCGCCTGATAGTGCGCAGGATTTGTAACCCTTTTGTTTGATATGGTTTGCTGCTTTAATTTTATTTTCTGTTTATTTTTTGTTTGTCGATTGCTGTTTTTTGTTTGCCTAATGCACATTACCGATTTACCACAGCATCAGGTGTGATGCAAACCTGACCTCTTTGACTGGGCGATATAGCCAAAAGGTCACAGTGATTATTTCGTCAAGTGGTCTTTATGCCAAATGGAAGTCTCTGTTGGCAAAACCACATGACTGGCGGACAGTAGACATATATTAGGTAAATTGCTCTAGTACATTGAATACTTTGCATTGCCTCGCTTTTAAATCTGTTTCTGAGGGCTTTCCGAATAGCGGAAACTTGGACTAGCGGAATAGCCTTTTGAAGCTGCTGTCCTCTAGCCTAAAATACCGAACAGGCTATGAAAGTGTATGAATGAAGGAACTTTCAATGTAGCTGACCTTTCTCCGATAGGACAAGCCCTGCAGGTTAGATCCATAAGCGCGATTCATGCTGAGTGTTAGAAATTCCCAGCGATCTGATTGGACTGTATGTCGCGTGCCACGTATTTTAACAAGTGGCGCCTCTCTTATCTAGTTTTTACTAGACACTCTTACCGTCGAGTTGTGATCTTCCGATTTGAAAGATGAGCGGCTCATACGGCTTTCGAATCTTGTCGAGCCTCGTCACACCAGCAGTTCTTCGAAAGAACCTCATTTCTACCGTTTGTGTCTTCAATTACCTTCTTTTTCTTGCTGTGAAACACTCAGTAATAGTCTATGTTAGGTGACAAGAAAGATTTAAAGCCAGACAGCTTTACACTACTGATCAGTTTTCTCATTCACCCTTACAAACCAGTTTGATTTTCTCTCTCATCACTGATGAATGCTGCCTCGAGATATTTAATCTTCACTGATTATGCTACACCGCCTATTTCTAGAGGACCTAATCCTAGCATCTGATTAGACAAACAATTACTTGTTATAAAAATATGGACGTTAGCTTTAAACTAGTTTTCTGTTATGCAAATCGGTCAAAGACAAACAGTGATTGACATTAATGGCCAACAAAAAGTTGGGTTTACCTAGAAGTGTTTATTTTCATTACAATAGGTAAGAATAGCTAATGCTTGTCATTTCTTGAGTTAAAAAGGGCAGTGCGGTTATGAAATCCATATAAGTGATGCTTACAAAGAGATAGGTGGAAATATATCCATTTGAACCTTCCGTTAAAGTGGCGCGTCTTAAAATGTGGTGACTGACCCCTTATATTCTAGAATCGTAATGGCATCAGTTCAGAGCAATTTAATCTGACACTAATTTACTAGGAATTATCGTTTACAGTTTGTCCCTAATTTAGCTGAGCCTTGAACTTTTTAGGTTGTGGTTTGAGTCTTGATCTTCGACACCGGCTGATCGCTTAAAATTCCAGTGGTTCTTCTCCTGGTCAGTTTCACACTTGCTTGATGGACATCGTTGGTTTCATTCCTTGAACAGTGATTCCCTGGTTTGATCGGAATTCAGTGTCCGAGTTTTCCTCGGTGATTGCCATCGGTCGACAGAAGTTGCACAAAGCTCATTGGAATACTTTTAGTTTATTGTTTCTCGATATGACTTGTTTTCCTCATTGTAATTATAATTTATAGTTAACGTAAGGCATCTTAGACGAGTAATGGATGGACGGTTTTGTCTGTTATTGTCACACTGATATTTTGCTCTCTTTAGTAATAAATTTAAATTTTTGAAGTTCAGCTCTGTTCTCATTGCTTTAAGAAAAATTCTAAGAGAGGAAGAGTGAATTTAATTGCAGTTTGCATTACGAAATCATTTGCATTGTCACATCATTCTGCTGATACTGCAGCAAGAATGAAGTGATTAGAAGCAGATCTGCTTCGAGATGAATGATTCTCTCTTCGAGATGTACGCGCTGCCTTAAAGAAAAATTGGTGGAAGGCCGCACAAGTTGTCGGCAATATGTCGCACACCTTATGCAAATGCAGTGTTCATGTCATTGCCTGGAGGTACTCAAGCTTTTGTTCATCCACTTCTTGTGATACTGTTAAATACTCGTACTTTTAATTTGGACCGTATAAACAATGCCGAATTTTTGTATAGTACATCACAGATGTTTTCACTCAGTTTTGATGACCGTTTATCCTTTCGGGCAGAAAGGCAGCTACATCAGACCGTGTCTCAAATGTTCCTGATTTAGTGCCAGCGGCTGAGCTTCGACCAACGATAACCGGAGTCTGGAGCTGAGTCCGTCGAGACATTAACCCCTTGATATTCTTGGCCGTCTCTCGGGTTTACTGCCTGTTGGTTGAGCATGTATTATCTGTTTCGCTTTCCTTAGGAGGCATTCGTAGGACGTGCCAAGTCATCGTTACTGTGAATTCTCAATCTGGAAGAGTTACAGCTGCACAGCATGGCTTTCTCGGATATCTGAATTCTGGACTCTGTCAGGTACGATGAGCCCAGCGTGATTTATTTCAGACAACCCATTTCAGGCGCTTGTGCCTGGAATCGAAGTTTTCAGTCATGAGCTACGACTAACCATCGTTGATCAGCATTGGAAT